AGTTTCCCAGTTTCCTCATACATTTGTTTAACAAACAAAATTCCAGCATCAACAAAATGCTGAATGAAGACCGATTTCCCTCCCAGAAGAATCAAATTGTTATTCCAAATTATTTGCTCATGAAATGCATTTTCGTTTGCTGGGCTTACGTCTGAATTCAGTCTTACCCAATTTTGTAAAATATTTGAAAAGAACAGTGGTAACCTCACTGGCAGGACTTTAGGGTCAAAGTTACAATTCAATAAAACTGAGAGTCCACCAACATTTAACTCTGCTAAAATAAACTTTCACACATTTTTTTAATTTTCCTGAATGACTATATATGCGTGAAATCAGCACTACCGGTAACAGTTATTAAAAACTATTAAAAACACTAATTTCTCAGACTGGTGCGATCGCAACTCACTGGATGTGCAAATTCAGCATTATTGTAATCAGATATACCATAACTCTGTTGTATGTTTATTTGCCTTTTTTCTCAATTATAATGTGCACAAGATCACAATTAGCCTAATTTTCATCGTTCTGCAAATTTTGTAGAACAGATAATATAAAATATTGCTTATATTAGGTATGCTCACAAAAACTCGAATTTGTGACATTGTCAGGGATATTATTTATAAAATATAAAATGTTTTTTTTGTTGTTGTTTTTTTGTTTTCAGATCATATTACGCGACCCACAAAGTCTGAAAAAAGAGCATGTATTAGAAGCGCACACCGGTACACTGTCTGACTTTGATGTACATGGTAACCAGCTGGTTACATGCGGATTTTCTAACAGGCAAGTGTTTCATCACAGTTCATGTAATCACTTTTAATGTTGCCTATAATCTATACGTTTTCTGAGATCTACACTAACTGTCTAGTTACTATTGCTGGTTTATCTGATTAACAATGCAAATGTATTCAAATATCATGGACCATTCACCAATGTACATGAAGGGAAAATACACTTCATTCATTTGCTAATTTAAACACTACTCACATGATTTAGGCTGTTTACATGTTCGTCGACATAACTCTGATCAAATTTACAGTCAATAGCTGGCTGTGAGCAAATTTCATTGACCAGACTACCGACTATACGTTAATTGTAGAGGTATCTGAAAACTGCTGAAAGCACATAGATTCTCAGCTGTGGACTTTTAATGTGGTACCTTGCTTTTCTTCAATTAAATCATGCCTGTTATTAAGCCAAAGAATGAAACCTGTCAGTAAATAACATTGATG